CATATATATATATTTAGAAATTACAAGCTTGACAACCTTTTGTCCTGGTTTCCATCTAGATTTATTACAGAGATTTAAAAACGAGCCAGCAGAGGTCATTAAAAACACACTTGACTTTAATATTTACAGGCACAAAGTGCTAACACACTAAATAAACCTGAGACCCAAACACTGATTCATAAATATATTCAACAAGGATAAATTCAAAAATAAGAAAACTGCAAAAATATTTTCTGCAGCTGAATCTGATCAATTTCTTTAAAAGGTTTTTCTGATTACTTCTTGTATTTGGTCGTACAAACTCAGGTTTGTTTTATTCTGTTTCACTGGAAATAACATCTGACATTAGCTGAACACTACTGAGGTAAAAACATGAAAATGAAAAAAAAAAAAGGATAAACAAAAACAACGAAACCTGAAATATTTAGAGGGTAAAAGCACAGACGTGTCTGGCCTCGATGGAGGAAATGACATCACAGAGGTTTGGTGGTGCTGTTGTACACCAGCGTGTCTTGCTCCGACAGCTCCACTCGACCCGGGGTGGGCGCGGCGGCCCCGCGGGACCGGTTCTTGCGCGACCGCAGGAAGCAGTAGCCCAGGATGGCCAGCACCGCCAAGATGGTGACGGACAGAATCACAGCCAGAGCTGTGGAGTCTGAGGAGGAAACCGAGAGGAGAGGTCACTTCCTGTCAGACTGGAGTACTGTCAAAGTACTGTAGTACTGGTACTGAGATACTGCGCTGGGAAGGGTTAAGTATGGTGGAACAACAGGGACAAAAGTCTGCTTCAGTACTGAGAACCAACAGAATGATTTAATTTTAAATCAAAAGTTTAGCACAAAACCAAAGATGTCAACAAAGTGTCAAATACTGTACATACAAAATATGTTTTTATGGTTTTGATGCATTTTAAATCAGAGACGATGGAAACATTTGTGCTTGTGTAAAATGAAATGTTAAAAAAATCACTAACAGATATTTCATTATTTAGCTCACTTTCCGAGTATTAAAAAAATTTCCAATATCACTGTTTTTTAGCTCACTATTATTACATTTAGCTAATTTTTACTAAATGTTAAATTTAAATGTTAAAAAAATATTTAAATATGCAATCCTAAATCTAAATGTTTAAATTTAAATGTAAATGTTAAACCTTAAATGTTGAAGTTCACATTTAGGTATTTTGCAATGGAATGTAGCCTTTGTTGTTGGTGCTCGGCTCATGTTATGATGTCATCATCCTGAGACAATAGCAACCGCTCCGATACAGCTAAAGCTTCCCTACAAGACATCAAACTTGCAGTTATGTCTGGTATCTGAGCCACACTTCAAACTGCTGGACCACAGGGACCACCCTTATCATCTTTATGAACACATTTTAAATTTACATTTTAAATATCTGCCAAAAAATTAGAAGCAGCTAGCGGTGGCTACTAGTGCCCATTGTTGTTTGTCACATGATGATGACATCATCCTGGATATCTGACGCCAACTTATGCCAACGCTTCTAACACAGCTAAAAAAATTAATCTAAATTCAAAATGTGTTAGATATCTTGTAGGGAAGCTTTAGCTGCATTGGAGCGTTAGCGGTTGCTATTGTCTCAGGATGATGACATCATAACATAAGCCAAGCAATAACAACCTACACTCACCGGCCACTTTATTAGGTACACCTGTCCAACTGCTCGTTAACACTTAATTTCTAATCAGCCAATCACATGGCGGCAAC